CCAAAATTACTTCAACGGAAGGTTTCCAGATGGATATGCGGAGCAAATCCATCTGGCGGAGTCAGGTTAAGTGCCTTGCAACATTTCTTTCCAAGATTGCTCTTTATTTACCCAAAACTCTGATCAGTATTTCACTTTGTATGTGAAATGCATCCCCACATCAAAATGCTGCCACAACCATGCATCAAACTTGGGAATTTCAGCTCAGGTTGGTGTGTTTATTTAGCGTTTAAGGTGTTCTATAAGGGATATTAAATTTTGGGATTATTTTCTAACCCAGCCTTGCATCAGATACCAACCTTAGTCTTAATGATACAGTTTTTAAACAATTTTTCTTTGAAAAACCTTATGGAAGATGCTTCAAGGAAACAATCACTGAGTTTTTCTGAGACCTTCACAGAGCAGTTATTCTTTTACTGGGATTAAATTACACACAAATGTAAAGCGCCTTATCAGTGAACTCCTTTTTTTGAAGACAGTTAGTTGAACTGGTTTTGTTTTGAGGTATCATAGTAAAGGGAGTGAAATCGCATCACTTCTTCATTTCCAGAAAATCCTGAAAACCGTCCAAGCTTTTTCTCCCACTTCAAAATTATACCGAACTATAATATGTTTTAGCTGTAAGGTGAGAAAAAGTTCACTTGTATGAATACTATTGCATGGTGCATTGTTTTTTAATTTTCTAATATTTTTTTTATATAAAAATGTGAATTTCATTTGAACTTCAAACTTCTAGGTCTTTTTATTTATCTTCTCTTCATAAATTTGAACAGAGGATAAATTCCATAATCTGTTCCTCTCTGCGCTGAGAACAGGGGTGAGGAATCTAGATCTAAATAGAGCACAATATCTCTTTGAAGTTCTTTCTATTCTCTTATCATGAGATTAATGGATCTGTCGCTTTTATTTTATTTATGACCAGCAGCAGCAATCTACAGATTGTCTGTTATACGGCTCATAATATAAACAGACAACTTGCTTTGATTCATCGTTTTATGCAGGACTCCCCTTTTTACATGAATTATGAGATGGACCTGCAGGACAGCGCTCTCGGAGAGGGAAGCTTCTCTATCTGTCGCCGCTGCACGCACAAAAAGACTGGACAACAGTATGCAGTCAAGATAGTCAGCAAAAGGTACGAGCTACTTTTTAAAATGCATTTTTTGGCCCAGATTGTTCTGGGTCACCTCTCTATTTATAGCTATTAGATGCATCCAACCCACTGCTGGCTGTCTTGGCAAAAAAACAAGGTTTTGGTTTGCTTACATTAAACAAGGTTATGAAAGTATTGCATTAGAAATGTGTGAAACTGATGAAATGAAGGTGATTGACAGATATAACCTCAATCTATCCAGCTCTTTTTACACATTTAGTGTTTTATTTATTTTTTTTGTTTCTTCTTCATAAAAGTCATCAAAACCTGCTTTCATCTTGTACCTTAGCTGCAGCCACAACACTCCTCATATTATTTATTGACAAATACTGCTCCAGTTATTGTGCCCATGTTATTAACGGGCCACACAGCTGAAAAGACATTTCTTGACCTCTTTAGTGCCTTGATTTTTATTTTTTTTATTTTTTCCGACACTTCAATATACTTTGGTCAGGACATTTCTATTGTAGGTCTGGCTGTAGGGTTAGTGTTCATTTTATGCTGCCCCTAACAGCTTTTTATGTTCATCTGCATCCATCATCACATCAACTCTGTCTGGCTTTCATTGTCCCTGATGAAGAAATGCAATAGCATGATTCTTCCACCTCCTGCTTTCATGTATGGAGGACCAACTCTGCCATATTTAAAAATAAATACAGAAATAAATAAATGCTCAATAAATAAATAAGCATACAATTAATTGCCACCAAAAATACAATAAACACTTAAATGTAAGTAGAAATTAAATTATACAGTGAGACATAAATGTATATACAGCCATGAACTTTCTTCTTTATTTATTTGCCTTCGTAATATTTACCTTATTTGTTTTTTGTCCTTTATAATCTTCAACTTTATCT